CTTGTAGAAAGGAGAAATTGAGATGATGAAGGATTCTTATATGGGTGTCAAACTCGCCACATCATGAGACATGTGGTGATGTATTGCAACTTTTTTTGCATTGCCGGAGCTGGGGTGAGCACGGCCTCAATATGATGCAACCGACCCGCGGGCCAGCAGTTTGACACCAATATTCTGCATTAACTCTGTGTCAGATAGCAGGAAGCACTCCTATTAAAGAAGCGGTTCCAATTTTACAGCTGACCTAATAAGGGTCAAACTGAGATCTCCAAATACGGGATGTTGCTGAGAAACCACTATTCATCCACCTGACAATGGTGTCGTGGGCATTGATGCCTTTCCCTCCCAGTGCAATTTAGGATGTCTCAAGATGAAGTGTCCTTATGTTGATGCCTCCATTCCCAGCTTCTTTCCATCAACTTTTTTTTATCAGAAGCAATTGCTGAAAACCATTGGTCAGTGATGGCAAACCTTTTAGAGACTGAGTGCCCCAAAAATGCCCTGCCCCCCGCCCCATTGCTCCGCCCCGCCCCACCTGCCAGGCCACCCTCCGCCTCCATGGTCTGCTGCAGATCGCTTAGGCGGCCCTGCAGCACCATGGTAGACATGCCCTCCATCCGCGCCCCACAGCATCATCTGCGTGCGATGGGGCGCGAGGGCGGAGTCTTGTCCCTGCTGCCCAGCTGCCATGTGCTTGGCTGCGCTGCTCCACACCCGAGGGTGGCAGGGCTGGGGCGATGGTGCACATGCCTACAGAGAGGGCTCTGAGTGCCGCTTCTGGCACACATAGGTTCGTCACCACTGCCATAGGTCTTTGGCTATGCCCAGCTTACCTTTGACATCTTGAGTTCAAGAATAATGGAGTTGCCATATGTACTTTGAGGTGCTGTGACTGCCCTAGTACTGTCTCTGGATTGACTAGCACAGGAGAAGATCTGAAGTATTTATTTATATATCAGACTTTTTAACTGCTCATCTCCCTTGTAGAGGGGCTCATAGGGGCATCATCCCAGATTTGGCAATCTCAGTCTGACCTTTATCTGGTCACCTGTAAAACTGGAGCAACTCCTTTAACAGCAATACCTCCTTCCACCTGCAATACGTTAATGCAATAAAACCCTTTACTGGAAAGGTCCTCCTGGCTATTGGTATAGATTGGCAGGTGTGACCAGGAGATCTTTCTATAACTTTTGGCAGTCCTACCAGGAACAGGAGGGCTACACAGCTGTAACTAATGCTCTCATTACATGCCTGTAGTCCTGCATTGCACTCTACATGTGGAAGTCCAGTCTGAAGATCACTCAGAAACTTCTTAGCTCATCATGCGATAGATTGTAGCTGGCATCTATTGCAATGAACACAATATGCTGGTATTGCAGATCTATACTGGCTTCCTATTAGCTTTTGAGTGTAATTCAAAATGCTGTGAATTGGCAGTAAGATATTTGCAGGACTGCCTCCTTCGGCCAGAATCAACCCATGCATCCCAGAGAAACTGCTGGTAGCCCCCTCATTTCTATGATATACATGGACAGAACTTCATATGTATTTCTTTTTTAAGTAAATGGCTAATAATTGCAAAATAACCTTTGATTAGATCCTTTCCTGTTTTTCCCAATTTTTGATTTAGTAGAATGACTAAGAATAAAGCAGGTTGAACATAGGAGGAATGGAGTGAATGGACTTCTAACCATACACAGCAATATTTCCGTCTAATCATAGGCAAAGTTGTGTGTGCACTTTTACAGGAATACCTGTATTCTTAATGACAGGCTAGACCAGACATGTCAAACTCGCGACGTCACATGACGTCGCACAACGTATCGGGACGGTTTTGCCGGCAATGGGGTGGGTATGCCTTCCGCATCCAGCCTGCGGGCCGGCAGATTGACACCCCTGGGTTAGACTCACGTGGGTACTGAAGACAATTGTAGCTACTAGTATCCAGTGAGCATCCATTAGGCTATTTTCAGATCGATTTCAAGATTGTCAGTGCACCATGGAGACCCATCAGCCTTCTTTCAAACTTGCTGCCTCACTTAGTATCACCCCCCACCCCCACCTTCCACTTGTCTGTATTTACTGCCAGTAACCTCCTAAGTAGGATGTTGTATGGCTTTTTCAGGGTGACAGTGAAGGATTTCCATTTTCACCAAGGATTCATTCTGGAGATGCAAACTGGCGACACTTAATTGGAAAATTTGCTAGGTACTTTCTGGAGATCATACTATCAACAGGAAAAGGTAGTAATTGGCAATGTCTCTCCCACTCACAGCCTAACTGCTTTCTACAAAATAGTAGGCCAATCTCTCATTTGTACAATCTCCAGTTTAGACAAGCAGAGTTTACATTTTTTTCTTACTGTCAACTGACTTACTGTGAAGTTAATGGTTTAAGAAAGTGGATCATTGAATGAAAACTGGTTCATTGAAGCATAGAAGTAATAATGCAACACAAGTACTAGAAAGTCGAGAAATTGACAGTAATGAAAAGGTCTTGAGCGAAGGTACTTAGTATGAATCAGCATGTGCTATGCTAAAGGAATTATGAACTTGCATTTGAAACTCCTAACGAAAAATGGCAATAGGACATATGGTAAAGAATGTCAAGGAATGTACTGCAACTGAGTACAGACTTTAATTCTTTTTCCTATCCAAATCAAGGACTTTGCATTTCTCCCAGCTGAAATTCATTTTATTGCTTTCTGCCTGGTTCAACTTTTCAGGATCCTCTTCAATCTTGGTATTTCCCATTAAGATGTTTGCAGTCCCTCTTAACTTTTGGCCATCTGCAGATCCGGTGATCATATATTTAACCCCTTATCCAAATAATTTATGTTGAGCAACACGGGCCTGGTAGCATTAGCCAACCTATACTTGTTGGTTTTCTCTGCTAATGTTATGGGAGATGAATGTTTCACTGACATCAAGGAACCTATATCCTTGTCAACTGAGTATGTCACTCTTTATCAGAAAAAGATATAGGTTGGTTTGACATTTGCTTTTGATAAACCCATGTTATCTCTTGCCAATCAACGCATTTTATTTTAAATGCTCATGGACCATCCATTTCATTTAGTTTTAAGCTTAAGTTATGTAAAACTTTCAATCTGTTGTTAACTTAAATCCTCTCCCACTAGCTCTTTTCTTTGATGATAAGTATATTGTGTTTCCTCATCCTCTGGAACTATACCGGTTCTCCATGATTTCTCAGGGATCATAGAAAGACCCTCAAGATGCCATCTGCAAACTCAGAGTCTGGGATGTTTTGGTTCTGGGACTTCATGATAGACAGATTTACTTTAAGCTACCCATTGTTTTCCTTAAATCCTTAAGGGAAAAGACTGAAGGAAAGTAGGAGTTGAGAGCAGTTTTGTCCTCTTATTATCTTTTTTTTTTTTTAATCAGTGGGCCCGGTACCTTTTTATTAGCTGCTCCTGCAATTCCTTCCTCCTACTGTACCCCCAAACCAGGAGAGATTCCCATGACAACACATTTTGCTGTCCTGTGAAAGCATATCCTTACAGCAGGGGTGTCAAACTGCCGGCCTGTGGGCTGGATGTGTCATACCAAAACCGCACTCACCCCATTGGCAATGGAAAAAAAGTCACCATACGTCACGAGTTTGACACCCCTGCCTTACAGCATCCAGAAAACAGTGATCACCAATCACTGAAATGCAGATGTCACCAAACCCACGGCCTAAGCACTCTATCATTCCCCCCCCCCAAATATTGCTTGATCTTTTGACCTAATATCCACTAGTTGATAGCAGAAGGTTCATTTCTCTTGCCTGCAATGTAGTAGCCACCCAAATTTGTCTTACCAGGAGGCAGTTGCTGCATAAATATTTTTGGCTGTATTTGATCAGGTTTAGCTGTGGAGAAGTGCTCATATATATCCATGTAATTTTTCCCCAATATAGTATGTACTGTACTATATTGTTAACCACAGTAGTTGATTTACTGAATATTTCAAGGCAGCAAAAAATTTAAGAGGATTTTTAAAAAATCTGTTGATTGCTAGGGCTCATCTGGATTAGTGCAGTTGAGACACAACTGCTCCCATTAGTAGTGTATCTTTGCACTAGGGTAAGGAGACTATATGCAGTTTCTTTGCCAAAAAGCCTGTTATGTTGCTAAGGCTAAGTTCCTTTTGTGTTGCAGCCTTTTAAACTTTAATCTCCTTAGTTATTACGGCTACCCTTCTTTTCCTACACGTCCCATTACACTTCTAATTGAAAACTCCCTATGCATCCACAATTTCCCAAAACTGCTCCTCCCCCCCCCTTTTTCCCCCTCTCATTGTACAGCGTGCAAATATATATATATATCAGGACTCAGGATCAGATCTAAGAGAGTCAGTCCCCTTGCCTTCTTCATGCTTCTGGAAAATGAAACAAGAACACTGAGGAATTTGGGAACACTTAAAAAGTCTCCCATAACACTGTCCTCCTCAAAGATTCCACAATTCAGTCTAGGAAGACATAATCCAGATGTGCCTATAGCACACTCTCCAGTAATAACTTTGTTTCACCTTCATTTTATTCTTACTTACAGGATCTCTGTTGGATCCTCGTTCAGAGTTTCAATATATGAAGGCACATCCTTCCTCTCCTTTTATCTAACCTAATCCTTTAGAATAAATTATTTCATTCGTTTAACCTTCCATTTGTGAGTTTAGTCACTACTTGCCCTTCTAACATTAAGGCACAAAAGTCTTTGAAGAATCCATTGGAGGATAGCATTCCTTTAGCTTAAATATTATTTCTCTTTGTCCTATTAATGATTTGAGCAGTTGAAAATTACTGCCATAGCTTGCTCAACCTAGTGTTCTCCCTACGCATCCGACTACAAACAGTAGTCATCCATGGGGTTATCACCCTGAGTCAAAATGATGGGAACCGTAGTCAAACACCTTTTGCAGAAGGCTGCAGCTGCATCTTGCTTCCTTTTCTCCCTCTCCCCTCCCCAATTCACCCAGCCTTGCAGAGAAGCCAGGTTGTCTTTGGAGGCACAGAGAATCCCTTCCTCCTGATTTATTTGTGAGCTTGGCTGTTGAACGGTTTGGTAACATCTGAGAGAGAACATTGCAACAGCTGATTAATGACACTGCAAGGAAAAATGACAAGTCTACAATGTCCAGTGTGTCTATATTACACCATAAATACACAGACAGGAGAAAGGGATGGTGGAGGGAGGTGCAGTGGGGTCTGTGCCCGAGAGACCTTGAGAAAATGCAGCTGGAGAGTCTCCCAGAGCTCTCTTTTCTTCTCCCTGGATGCTCTCGAGCACAGTGTGGCCCCTGGCAGGAGTGGAGGATGGGAGAGGAAGGGTCCGCAGGGGAAAGGGGATCTTGTTTGCAAGATTCTTTTTACTTTTTAGAATAATTTACAATCTGCTTATTCACAATTATGTACAGTCCAAACCTGACCCAACAAACTTGTGGAACAGAACGGCATACAAAAATAAAAGCTATACAGAAAATTAGAAAGAGATTCTCTTTCTTATTTATCCCTTGCAATTGAGGCTTCAAGAAAGAAAAGTAAAAATACAAAGAAAATAGCTACAGTACTGTGTTCAGAAATGGCCATGTTTTCTCTCCCTTGGGTTGGAAAGGAGGTGCCCTACACTGGCCTTCTTGCAAAGACTGGCAATGCAGGGATGGCAACTCTTGGCAGGCCGGCCACCAAGGGATAGCAACCTCGCCAGGGCTCTCTGTGCAGCTGGCCTTCTCCATGGGTATGATGTGGCTAACCAAAGCTGTCACGGTCTCAGGCCAGCACTTGGCAATGCTCAGGTCTACCCGAGCAGCAGCCCCAGAGCATATCCCACAACTTCCTCTCCCAAGCTCGGGCTGACCTAAGGCCTGAGACATTACTTTGCTAAGAGAGCTGGCTAAGGAGCAGCCAATGCAAAGTGGGTGGTGTCCATGTGCAGAATGAGACCTTTGCAAAAGAGGAGACTTGGCTTTGGTTCAACAGCTCAGTTGTAGCAATGGGGGCAGGAAAAGGGCTTAGTTGTTATTGCTTCACCCTCACTTCTTCTGAGGTGTCGGTGGGGGGATTAAAGGAGTCGTGCACTGGTGCTGGGTAACCGTATAAGAGGGACTAAGGGGGGGAGTATGTCTTCTCTCCGAAGAATCTGGAAAAGCTGGACTAGGCTACATACTCAATGGCTCTGCAATCAAGAAACCAACAAATCCAAAACTACAGCTATCTTCCTACTAGTAAACAGCAGGAGGCATGGCTGCTTAGCAAGTGGTGGGGAATATACCCACACATCAACCAGCCCAAGACTAGTCCATAGAGGCAGCGAAACAATGCCAAGGGGATCGTGGTCCTGCAACTTTGAAGACTGGATCCCGCAGTGTTCCTTGTCCAGTGAAAGACTAATGACCTAGCAGGAAATATCCATTTAATGCGATGCATTTTGGGAATGAGAAAATGCTCTCCCTTCAATGCCAAGATACAAGGATGCTGCATTTAGCCAATCAAACTATTTTGTTAGTTAAAGTAAAGAAAATAAGCAGCCAAACAGATTTCTCCTGGGAAAATGATAATCAGGAGCAGGTTCATGGAGGGGCCTAGTTTTTATTTTCTGGGATGAAACACTATTACACACACCTCCAGGATGGAGGAAAGAGGGATCTGGCATGGTAACACGTGGAACAAGACTCAGGGATTACTTTCATAGCCTCTATAGGAACAAGGAAATCTGTCAGATTCCCTTTGGCTAACCACTGTTGACAAAATTGTCTCCAAATCTGATTTCAAGGCAGGTGACTTTTTCATTTGATTATCCTGACCTCCTAGAATGGGGTCTCAACTCTGATCCAAGCAATTTGTTCCCTACTTTATAGCTAAGTGATGTGGCTTTCTGAGCCGATAAAAAAGATGGGCTCCATCTCACTCCATCCATTACTATGTAGCTGAGGGTGTCCGAGACAGATTCCCCATCTTTGGAGCCAAGGATGTTAGAGGCTCTTTCTCCTGAAAATCGTAACAGATTAAAACCAAACCCATCTCTCCCCCTTCTCACAATTTCAACTCTAAATCAATGTTTGTGTTCCAGCCTTGTTGATACACCACATCACACAGAAAGATCATTAGGAAAGGCTGCTAATTTTCTATTCTTCTGGGGGAAATGGGAAGATCCTTTCAATACAACTGCTTTTTGTAGCTGAGAAACCTGGGAGCACTGCATTTCAGAGATCAGCATCCAGACACACAAAGAAGATAAGTTGCAAATCACTGATAAAACAAACACCACTCAGCGTACACCACCCCTCTCTCCAGTCCTCATATCTGCTGATTCCGTCCCCAACCTGAAGGAAGGAATACTCACACCTGAGGTCCCCAGCTGAGAGCTGTCTAAGCAAGCTGGCCAGCATAAATATTTGATCCTGGCTGTATTGCCTTTTTATTTTTGTGCAAAATGAGGAATGGAGGAAGACTCGGCTAGTTGGAAACTTAGATAGAATGTTTTAGATTCTTGTTCCCTTTTCAGTTTCATTTTTTGTAAAAGTAGTATCTTCTCCCATTTGCTCTGGGGGAAATCTATGGCATTGTAGGCAAAAAATTAAAAACCTGCAAACCATACATTAAATAGAAAATAGAACTGCTCCAAGAAAGGAGAGAAAAAAAAACACACACACCAAGCAACAGCAACAAAATCCTCAAGGGCAAACTTTTTCTCATCAGTCCATAATAAAAATCAAATCTATGTAAATTCACAAAAATAAATAACTACTAGCTTAAAAAATAACTTACAAAAATAAAAACAATACTTTCCCTCTCACCCTTCTCCAATGTTTGAACATCCTACCTGGGAGAGCTGTGCTTTGGAGGGCACTGAGAAAACCTCCAGATGGCCCCAGCTATTCTAAAGGGACATTGGAGAAGAGGAGTTAGATTCTGACACCATCTGAAGAGCTTCAGAGGTTTCCCTCCAATGAAATAAAGGCACAAGTACATGAGCTAAATGGGGAGGGCATATCTGGAACAAAGGAACTGCAGCGGGGGTTTCTCAACCTCTGCATCTTCGTAAGATGTGTGGGGATTTAATTCCCAGAATCCCCCCCCCCCAGCCAGGATGGCTGGATAGGAATTTTAAGAGTAGAACTCCAGACATCTTAAAAAGTTGCTGTTGAAAAACATTGCCCTACAGGAACCTCTCTCTCTCTCTGTGTATCTAGGACAAATGGTTACCAGTTTTTGTCGTCAAGCTCCTGCGCTGCATCTATTTTTACTACAAATAGGCAAAACCACTATTTTAAAAATAGTTCTATTGGCTTTGCCTCTCTGCTGCTACATACATGCCTCATACCGTTAGTGCCCTCTTCCCTTTCCTGGTTGCAGAAGTCTAAAAAAGTTAGCAAAATGAAGTAATTAAAAACAACCAGTCAGAAATAATGAAGGGAAGGGAAAAAAGAAATGAAAAAATATTTCTGGAGTGCTTGGGCCAGTCACTACAGCAGCAGGCTACTACCTTCTGCTGGGGCCAACCTGGTTCTACAGTTGTTGTGTGTATTCCCCAACCCCCCCCCTTTTTTTTTCTTAGTTTTCCTTTTATAAAAAATACAATAAAAATAAAAAATGAGGTTTTTTCCATTTTTTTTATCCCCACCCCTCCCTCATGAAAACTTCCGTGTGTGTGTGTGTGTGTGTGTGTGTCTGTAGGTGAGCTTGCTTTCTTCAGTTGTCCCTTCCCACAGTCATGATGCTCCAAGGGATGTGCCAGCTGCTCTACTGTCCGTTCGTCTGTCCTGTCCGTCCTGGGACTCGTGTTGGTTTTCTGTGGCTGTATAGTAACTGTTGTCCTCGTCTCCAGGACTGCTGCGGTCCTTCTCGGATGGTTCTGAGTCCTCCCCTTCCTCCTCCAGGGTTAATTCAAACTGGAATTTCTCCAGACAGGCCTCCTCATCCTTCTCGGCATCATCTGGGGGTGGGGAAGGACTTTGGGGGATCATGCTGTGATACCAGTCCCTGTTGTCCTCAAGAGTGTCCAAAATGTCTTGGGCGTCAGGGTGGACAAGGTCTGCCCAAGTCTCCCACAGTGGGTGCACGATGTAGTCAATGAATCCCACCTGAAGGAAAAGGACTGGAGGTTAGACCCATGGTGGTGAACCTATGGGCACGCGCGCCGTCGCCCCAGTCCTAGGCCTTCAGCTGAGTTTTATAAAACCTTTTCGCTTTAGGCCTCCGACGCCGTGAGCAAAAAAAAAAAAAAGATTCAATCAATTTTAACTTCTCGCGGGAAAAAAAAAAGATCTCGCAAAGTTGGAATTGATTGATTGAACTTTTTAGTCCCATCCAGTCGGCTGTTACCACTGTGGCAATGCCCACCCATGGGCCATGCCCACCCAATTGGCCACACTCACTCGATGGGCCATGCCCACCTGGCACCTGATGATACATAAGTGGGTTTTGGGTTGCAGTTTGGGCACGCGGTCTCTAAAATGTTCACCATCACTGGGTTAGACTGAAAAAACACATGGGAATGTCCCATTCCCACCCAACTATTGAAGAACACCCAGCAAAGGATCACCTGCAAAACCAGCCTGAGTCTCCCCTGGAGCAGGCTAGCCACACATATATTCATGTTCACCATCCTAAGGGGATCCAGGAGGGGAGAGAGATGTCCCTAAATAATGTCAGCAATGGAAGAAAAAGGTGGGTGTGTCCCATCCTTCCATCACTGGAGCCTTCATCCAAGTTTCTCAAGTACTGTACAATTCAAGAATTTGCCAAACAGAATATTAGAACAGGTGGAGGCACAAACCTGTTTTTTCGCCCTAAGACTTCCTCTCTACTCAAGAAGTAAATTTGTTTTATGACTGCAAGTATAAAGTGGAATCCATTGTCTGCTCTGATACTTCCAAATTTAGCACTCTTGGGGAATCTTGATAATTGGGAGGAGAGGAGAGCTCTAAGTTGAAAAAGGCTTTAGAGCAAATTCTGCACCTTTGCCCTTCTTTATGTACACAAATATATCTTTAAATGGTAAAATTAGCACTAATATTATGTATTAAATAACCATACTATACATACAAAGAAAATTCTTTTGCTCTCCAGAATGACATAAGAATTATTTTAACATTTCAAAAGCAATAGGATATAGAAGAAGCAGTCCCACAAGAGAAAAAGCAATCTTGCAATTTGGGAGAAGATTCTCCTCCCCCCCCCCCAAGAAACACGATCACATGTATTTTAAAACGTTTCAATCCACATTCATGCCAGAATGGACCATTTTAATATTTTTAAATGATGTAGTAGAGCATTTTTAAGTGTAATGTTGGACTTTTGCCCAGTTAAACAGCACAATGTATAACATCCTAAATAATAAGTGGGGAGGGGGTAAAAACATGTATTCCTAGTACAGATTTAATCCAAGGAGCCACAGAGTGAGAACTCAGATTGCTGGTTAAATGCAGAGTCCAGGCTGAATCCTCCTGATTAAAATGGGCTTGGTCTGAAAGGCCATTTAAGATGCTGTCACGGTGGAGAGCATCAACATCAGCCACTTCTGCTTCAATGATCAAGCTCAGCTACTTTCTTTAGGTACAATTTTTTGGTGGGGGGGGGGCACAAGGGACACACAATAGTATAATCTCCAATACATTCTTATTTGCAAGTGTCTTATATAATGAAACTCCCATGTTCCTGTACTGCAACATTGGGATGGAGCTGCCTTGTGTAATGGAGCTAAGGTTTCTATAGCAACAAATACCCACCTCCAGACAAGGCTATTCCTGCTCTGAATGCTGGCAGAAAAGAAAAAGTAGGGGGAATAGGAAGAGGATCTTTCTTCCTCCTTAACTGAGCTATAATCCCACACAGCTAGCACACATACCTGTGACTTCTCCACAGAGGCTGTGTGCTTGTCACACATAGGGCTGATCTCCATGCCTCGCTCCCGTTCTTTGTCACCCTGCCTGAAGAACTCCTCCATGATCCGGTCCGTCCACTGCCGATACAACTCCAAAGGCTTTGTGGGGTTGCTCAAGTCTGCACAGTGAACCATGTTCCGTAGGACCTGAGGAAATTGGCAGAAATACAGGGCCAGTCAGAGGCTTCAGTGTGTGATACCTCTGCCTGCACCCCATCAGCACAGTTCAGAGTATCAAAGCTCTAAAAATTGAATGCTGTGGGATATGTGTGAATAAGACTAAAGGGCCTCAATGGAACGTTTCTCTGACACAGAACCCAATAGGACTGTGGTTCCCAACCTTTGCAGCTTGGCAGGCCAGCGAGAAGGGGGAGAGGAAAGCCGGGCCATACGAGTGGTGGCCGGCACATTCATGTGTGCCCAGCTTGACTTGTGCGAACAGCAGACTAGCACGCAAGTGCATGTGTGCACGTTCAACTTGCAGGAGTTGAGCTGCGTGTGCATCTGCATGCCTGCTGGCCCGCTGCTTGCATAAGTTGGCCCACTGCTCGCGTGGCTCATTTCCGAATAGGCCACGGCCCGGTAGTGGGCTATGGCCCAGAGGTTGGGGCCCCCTGCAACAGGAGACTGGCAAATGGAAAATTCAGGAAAGGAATGGCATGCGCAAACCACCTTAAAAAATTAACTATAAAGTTATCATGATTCATTTCCTATTTTATCTCAACAGCTAGGAAAAATGCTGTAATATATGGTGGGCCAGGAGATTACAGTGTAACACTGGTAAAAAATTTTGATGCCCAGAGGTATTTTGTCAGGTGGAACAGAAGCATTTTGAACAAAAGTACACAAAAAACCCCTCTAATTTTCCTTAACTAAAACCTTAAGTGATGGACTGGGATCTCAACCCGAACTACACTTCTTTTGAAGAAACTGAACTCCTTGCAGGTTGCCTAGCCCTAGGCCATCTTCTTAGCCCAATGCCAGTTTTGCATCATCCTTACTTAGATTGTCTGGGAAAAGTTTAGCTCCCAGCTATCTACAAAAGGTTTAGCTCCCAGCTGTCTACCTTGTCTTTTTTTCCTTTCTCTTAATTCAAGGTGGATGGGCCTCACTCACCTGTATTCTGTCAGTGTAATTGTCCAGCAAAAGTACACCTGAGCTGGTCACTTTTTTGGTTTCCACCATTGTTTTCAGATCAGCCAAGAGACTCATGTGTTTGGACATGTCGGTGGCCAAGACCTGTAAAATAATTACTGAAATAAACAAAGGTATTGCTGCTCACTCGCTTCACACCACACGCTGATATATGCCCACCTTCAAACTTGATAAAGACACTTTTATGGGTAGGATCTTAGCAAGCTTTTGTGAGCCCATAAGCCAGAGGTTGTGGTAGATGGGTTAACTTTGAAATTCTCAGTGTGCCAAAGACCAATCTGCCAAGATCATATGCCATCTCATGACACAGCCTGGTTCCTATCTATTATATCCATTTCATGACAAAACTTCAAGATCCTTAAGAATCACCAGATTCAATATATATTCTTTTAAGTCATTCTATGGTTCCTAGAGAAAGTCCTAGAGGACATAGTTCAGAATCCTCTTTCCAATATTTTGAAAACATCTGTTCCTATTAGAGACTAGGAAAAGGTGCTAACCAGACAGTTTGGAGCTTCTGACATTAAAGTCACTAGAAATTGCTATGAACAATCGATTGTCAGGATAAAATAAAAATAATTAAGGGGTAAAATCTTCACAGCAGTATCTATGTTTCCCTGGCCTATTCTTGGTTAAATGAATTTCTGTACATAAAAAACAAAGGGATTTTTTTTATCTTTCCTCCCCCCTCCATCTCTTCAAAATGTAGTTCAGAAAGAAATTAGATTTTTTTTTTTAAAAAATCCTCATATTATTTAATTTTTTACTTTAGGTTTAAGAAATGTCTGATAGTATTCACTGATTGCTGGACTAAACCCACAGTTGCATCCAATAAATATAACTATAGCTATATTAGGGTATTCAGTGACTTATTTAGAAATACTTAATTAGTATTCTTTCAGCACTCTGCTTATGTTCTACAGCAGATCTTCTAATAAGGGCTCTTGCCCAATTGAAATCTTTAGCTCCAATACCACTGGAATTGCCCTTTTCATTTCTAGAATTCTGCACAGCATCAACATCTCAACAAGTTTGCACTTTATTTGTCAAAATCTTTCTTAAAACAGAAGAGGAAACTCTGAGAAGCCCAACAGATTAAATTCTTCCAGCGTTAAGGGCTCGTGTATGCACGGGTGCCAGTTAGCTGTTCTCTGCTGTTCTTTCTCTTGGAATTTAATATAAAACATGTGTTTTTGTTTTTTTAATTAAGGCTTTCTCCCTAAAGGAGAAAAAGCAACTTATTCTAATCTGCTTGGCTTGCCTTTGACATTCTACAGGGCCAACGGGCCCTAGTTCTAGATTGTTGGCCCATAATGCTGACCTTGCAAAGGGAAGCGTACCTCTTAATTAGTAAAGCCTTCTGCTCCTTTCCTTAAGTAACCCACTTCCTCACCATGGCCCTTTTTGATTGAGATGTAGGGCTGCTACCTATCCTGTGGCTTTCACACCAACTCACTGAGTTGGCCTTCAGAAAGGAAGAGCTGGATGGGTTGGGAGAAAGAGACTAAAGGAGAGATACCCACTTCCAATCAGGGCATCTGAGATTGGTTCTGGTATTATGAAGTAATTATTATGTACTAGAATGGGTTGAGGTCTCTTTCAGATATCTATCCTGTTAAGAAGCTAGCCAAATATCAGTAAAAAAGGAGGACCAGCAGCTTCTGGTCAAAAAGCTCCCCATATGGAAGCTGGTTAGAAAACAATTTAACTTAGCTGCTGATTTTTCCAGGGAAGCCTTCTTTCCTCTGGTTGAGATTTGGCTGTGTATAATTTCTTAGGTTAATCTTTTCTGTGTTAATTTTTGAATCTCAGATGCAGCAGTAACACATGTGCAGGAAGAAGCAGAGGAATGGCAGGGGTGGCATAACTATTTTTCTCCAAGAGAAAACCATCCGTTTCCCGTGTTACGTGGTCTGCTAGGAAATACATTTCTTCTATATGTCATCCAGACTCTTCCAAAAATAATTAGGTTTCTCCCAGTAAAGGAGGATGGGGCTTGTAACTGGAAATGCTGCAGGAGATAAAAAAAAACAAGTTTTTCCACAGGAACCAGTCTCACCTCCATCCCAAGCTTACCATGTCAATGACCATCTTGCGCAAGGTCTGTCGCTGTCGTTTGCTCAGGTTCTGGAAGATGTCACAGTTCTCTTCCTGCAGCAGCTTGAAACCCACAGCTAGGTGATGGTTCTCCAGAACAGACTCATCGTTGTACATCAATGCCAGCTCTGAATCTGCACGGAAGGGTCACAGACGATGAGAAGGTTATGGAGAATAGGAGGATTTTATTTGCTCATGGAAATATGGCCAACGGTGTTCCAAGCAGCAGACGGAATACAGCAAATAATCTTTCTAGATGTCTAATAAAAAAGAACCTGAGAGCCTGTGTTTGGTCCAGTGGTTAAGGCATTAGGCTAAAAACCAGGAGACCGTGAGTCTCCCACCTTAAGCACAAAGTCAGCTGAGTGATCTTGGGCCAGTCGCTTTCAGCTCTAGGTGGGAGGCAATGACAAACCACTTCTAAAAAACATTACCAAGAAAACTGCAGGGAAGTCTTTGAAAATGGGATATGACTGAATGGAAGGAATAAATAAATAAATAAAAAGCAAGCAAAACAATTTAACAACATTCCATGAAAAATCACTCTCTCTCTTGAATCCAGAGGCCTGACTTTACAGAACAATTTCCCCCATTCTAGTGCATTCCTGATGTGCTACAACTTTAACTTCTAGAATTCTTACATTCAGTAGCTGATTTTTCTCTCCCCTCTCTCTTACATACATCACGCTTATACCAGTGGTTCTCAACCTGTGGGTTGGGACCCCATTTGGGGTCGAACGACCATTTCACGGGGGTCGCCAAACAACGCAGTCCGCCATTTTTTCCCCCTTTTCCTTAGCTGTGCTACTCCCTTTTATTCTATTGGCTTTTGAAAGCCAATAGAATAGACTCTCTTGAATAGAGTCTAATTCTATTGGCTTTCAAAAGCCAATAGGAATTGTCCAGGCTGTCTCTGCTCTGCTGAGCCCGCTAAAAGTCCCATTCTGAAAACAGTGCTGCACCAGTTGAGTAGTCCTCGACTTACGACCGATTGAATAGTCCTCGACTTACGACCAGTTGGGGGTTGCGGCATTAAAAAGGTTGAGAACCACTGGCTTATACACTTCTTATACACTTTCATTTCTTCTGTCTGTCCTTTGTACTCTATTATGGCTTGATGAAACACATCTGCACAACTCAAAGATCAGAGAAATCCTAATTAAACACTATCTCTACCGAAGAGAGCAGAACAAAACAATTTTGTCCAGTTATTCTAGCTGGGAAATCATTGGGTGGGGAAACAGCAGCATCTTTGATTTCAGAAGTTCTTCATAAATTTTAAGCAATTTCTGTTTTTCTGTCATTTTAGAGCAGTTTGTTGCTTCAGTGCACTAGGCTAGGAAAGTCATAGACCTTTCTTTTTGTTCCCATCTTCACTGGTGACACTGTGTGCCCTTCCTCACTCCCAATAGCAGTACTTCTTTCATCTGTAACATAATGAAAAAGTCCTCCTACACTGATGCATATAAATGACTTAGGTATATTTTTATTCTACTTTTGACATAAGAATGCCAGTTTTAATTTTAAGTTTTCTTTTACTTATACACAGTCCTGTGATTTAGAGTGCCCCAAAGTTCTAAACTGAGTTTATTCTATATTAAATTGTCTACAACGCTCATTTATTGGCCCTTTAGGAAAATACTGAGCAAAACCAAGCTTGGGTTTGGGTAATAGGATAAAAAGACCTGGTGATAAAGAAAGATGGATTCTATTGTATTCTCATATGGTTTCCTTCCATCTGATGCTAATTACTAACACAGAACTCCATCTACACAGAACTTAAGCATTTAAGCTAGAAAAATAGTATCAAAATTAATATACAGACTAATTCCTCTTTAGAGTTAACTCATCCATTTTCTTGATTGACTTTTCCAGGGCACACAACCTACTTGACATCTTTTGTATCTGATTTTTCTTTGAGGCTGAAGCTAAAAGGGGAAATTCTAGACAAGATAATTATCTATTAGTCAATTAGGCAGGAGTGGGAAGTGAGCAGGGTGACAGACAGGCTAGAAGTGCAAAAAGACATTAGACTTTTAGCTGGATTAGATGAGGGCAAACAGCTCAATCCAGGTAAGACGAAGGTACAGAAGAGAAATCAAAAGAAATAGACGTTTAAACTGTCCTGGGAGTTTATGGCAGTGGTTCTTAACCTTTTTGAATGAATCGCCCCCTTGAGCCAAAGAGGAAGTTGTCATTGCCCCCCTCCCCCAACATAACCTCTCAATCACAACATAGGAAATAATTCTTCAATTTATGCAAACACTTTTTTTGTTTTCTTTAAAATTGTCATCAGGACATATTGACGCAAATAATTTATTTCCAGTCTTTTTCCCATATCTCCCATATTCTGGCCAATGGCGTGCCACTATATGGGTAGAGGCTGCTGCGCAACGCGCAAGATAAGCGATGCATATTCACATATGTACAGCATTCTGTACTGAAGCTAACTGGAAGAACATTTGAAAACACAATTCAATCCACTAATAGCGAGCGAATTGATATTTTTGTACGACAGATATACACGATTCACTGTACGAAAAAGTCTCAAAAGTGTCCCCAAAACACTTTTTGCTCCATCGCCCCCATATCGCCCCCATATCGCCCCCTTTTTGTTCCTTCGCCCCCGCATCGCCCCTTTTCGTTCCATTGCCCCCCTGAAAAATGAAATCGCCCCTTGGGGGCAATATCGCCCAGGTTAAGAACCACTGGTTTATGGTATGGAGATATTCCTGGACTCAATGCTGAATTTGGATGCCTAGTTTTCAGTGATGATCAGAAGTGCACTGAAAATATTCTATTTTCACCAATTATTAGAAATATCAGATTTGACTACAGTACCAGATGCCTTATTTATATCCTGTTTGCAACTATGCTAATATACACAGGCTACTTTTGATAAATACTCAAATATCTAATCCAGAATACTGTAGCCAGACAACTAGTCAAGGCCTGTTTCAAATGCATGCAACTCTCTTGTTGCACTATGTCTACTGGCCATTGGTTTATGTTTCTGAGCCCAACGGAGAGTCCCTGTTAACAGTGTAAACAGCTGTATGACTAGAGACCAGGCTTTTTGAAAAGCCGCACTGCTTCATGGGAATCTTTTCAGATGTTAGGATCCCTAGGAGAGGCAGTTCTCTCAGGTCAACAGTTGAGCATGAACACAAGACAGCATTAAGATCAGTCAGTTAATTGACAGAGACAACAAGATCTTCACCAAAACAGAGCAGCAATATCTCTGTGATTCCTCCAAATGTACAGTTTTGTCTTACAAAGTATGTCCAACCTATCCAGAGAGTATTAATTTGGAGAAGACAATATTCAATTGTGTGGAGGAGAGGAAGACATTTTGCAATTCTCTTTCTATCTAGATTAACCTGTATGCAAGGCACATATATCCTGGCCACATGCACCCACCCCTGATATTTTTGACTCCTTGCCACTCCCCTCCCCCGCGCTTATGTTCAGTGTGGCCTTCACTCACTGGTGTTGATCAGGAATTGGTTGGAGACACCCGGATGGTCCACATCATGAATGGCAGCAGCAAAGATTGCAGCCAAGATCTCCAGGTCAGTGAAGACAGCCTGTAAAGGAAAAAGAGAATGAACGCCTGGTGCCTCTGCCCTGTTTCATGGAAGAACATCTGCCAGCAAATAAAAAGCAATTAACGGGGGTTAGAATTTGGATCCCCAAAATATGTGTGTTGCCACCCTAGATGGTGATCCACTACTGATCAGAGCAATAGTAAGCATTTATAAAAATTCAGCAAGCTTCAATGTAAGGCATAATAAAATTTTATAATGGAAGCAAAATACCCAGTATTATAGGTATTGCAAAGCATAACGTTTAGAGAAGTATGTAAAGCACTGTGAAGCAGTATATAAGTCTGAGTGCTCTTGCTCTAATACAAGTCATAACAATCAGTTAATTGTAAGTTAATCTGCCTCCCACTGCTGTTCCAAATGAAACAGGGAAAAGTACAGAAACTCCCCGTCCTTTGGGACTCTGGGAACCATCCCCTCAGAGAGCCTGAAGCAAAGGCAGTGTTGGATCCCCACATTATAAACTGCAACAGATCGTGACTTACATCCAAGGCTGGTGTAGACAGGAGGACGTGTGTGGATTGAGTAACATCAGCAGCATGGAGACTGTTGTGGTAGGCCACATCAGCATGGTAGTGATCTTCTAGTGTCATGATATAAGTGACTAATGTGTCCACAGGGATCTTAAAAGTTTTCAGCAAGTCTCTTTCCTATGGGGAAAGAAAGAAAAGGTAATCAATGGTTGAAATAGAAAAGTGATAGTTTACAGCTTCTTCTATGGACACTAGCTCCTGAAAAATGAGCACTAGAATCTTTACCCTCCCCAAACAAACGGCAATCTCCCCTGAAAAGGGAAAACTGTGTGATATACTCCAGCTCCTAAGCAATAATTATAATTATACCTTGAAACGATGAACAAGAACTACCTCTACCACTGCCATGAGTCTAGATCCTCCCTTTCCATGTTTTGAAACTACATGGGATTCAGCAGACGTACTTCCCAGGCATCATCATTCCTTTGTGTGTATTCAAGTCCCCCCATTATATATAGAGTGCTGTACATGAACAAAAACAAAAATAATCCTGCCATCTCTCCTAACTCTAACTCCAGTCCTAACTTCCAGCCTGCTGGTGTTTTGGCAAAGTTAGCACTTTTGCAGATTCATGAAAAAATAAATTCTCTAGAGATAAAACTCCCCAAATGTGTGGCCACCGATTTTTCAGTACATTGGCTATGCTGGCTGGAATGATGATAGTTTTGGTCTAATCAGGCTGTCAGATTGAACAATTAATCGTAAATGGATTACTTTTTTTGAAGGCACTTTCTACAGAGAGGACAAGCAGTACCGGTTACATTCCTGATTATATTTTTCCTATAGACTATAGGGAAAGAACCTGGAAACCCCACACCTCAGAATACAGAATGACAGATTTCAGAAACTGCAGCTAAACCTCAAATCAAAGCAGAGAATGCTTTCTTCAATTAAAATGCTTAGGCTGCTGCCCACATAATAAATCAGCCCTGTTTATATTATTGCATATGTTGCTTTTTGATATTGCATATGTTGCTTTTTGATTCATTTCTGTATCCAACTCAATATTTCACTGAAATAATTTAGAGAGTGAATTTCTTTTAAAAAGGTCAGGCTTCAAACTGTATAGCATTCTCAGGGTTATTCTCAACAGTACTACTGGACCAAACCAAATATGTGACTGAGATGTGTGTCCACGTGCAGGGCTAGCAGGGGAGGGAATAGTGGCCTATGCAAACCTTACCTGGAATATTGTATACATGATGCAGCTGAGTGACCGATTGTTGGAATAGTCAGCAACCCGGAAAATGTTGAGACCCCACTTGTTTAGATATTCCAGTTCCTAGAGGAGCCACAGGGGAAGAAGTCAGTGAATGTTTGCCACAGTAGATGTCAAGAGGAAGGTCCAGGAGGCCAGAGCAAATGGCAGATGAAGAAATCAAACCTACCATATTTTCTTTGCTATGCCACTAGCTCAAAGGTCATTCTTCAACCATAAAATGAAGAAAACCCACTGAGAAAGTCCATAGCAATTAAGAATGTCATCTAGTGTGAATATTCCATGAGACCATTAAGTTCAGCCTAAATGTTTGGATACAAAACCAGGCAATGGTTTTTTTTAATTTTCATTGATCTTGAATGCTGAGATAAAAGAAATCATAAATAGTCCAGTTCCATCACAATTTTCTAAAATATTCCCTTGGCTCAAAAGCAAAACAGGAATCTTTTCTGAAGCAAACAAAAAACATAAATCTAGATTACATAATACTGTCATCTATCACAATTTCTCTCATTGGAACACTCTTTTCTGATAACCTTTGATTATGTAGTAGTGTATTACCACCTAACAGCAAATATTTTCTAAAGAAATATTTATTCTTTTTAATTGTAGCACATGTTTGTTCTGCACCAGGTGGGCATTATTCAAAGAGTTCCTTTAATTAACAAGTTCTGTCTTGCTTATTCCTGGATTACATTTGAGCAATCAGTTATCAACTTAATAAAATGAGATATGAATGAACAATTGTTTTATCTCTTTTTTTGTGAAAGATGGAAAGCTAAATCTGCAGTTTAAAACATTTCAGATACATTCCAGAATACAAATAATACATACATTCAAAAATAAGATATTTTCTGAACAAGTCAAGACATTAAGCTAAAAATAAATTATAGCTTCATATTTTGTTTTGTTTAGAGAGTATCAACCAGTTTCTTGGTTTGAAGAACATGAGGAACCAAAACAAGCATTTCCTGATTTAATTACTCATTTGTATAGAAAAAGGAACAAAGTAATTTCATTCAAGTTATAATGCTTTTTCACATTTTTTTCTCATTAATACAAGGTATTAGCTGGGTGTGGTCAGGGGATATCAATACTGATGTAGCCTACAAGAACCAAGGTATAATTTGCTAGTTCAGAGTAAAATAAGAAAATGAAGACTTATATTCCATGGAAATACAGACAAAGGACCAAGATTAATTCAAAATTATTGGTTCAATTCATAAAATGCAATTTGTCTGAATAATTTTTCTGTTAGCATTATTACAGCAGTGTATATTCCTCCTTGTGCAAACAGAGATGAGGCTCTGATTGTTCTCTGATGGTATGATCATCAGTAACTTACAAACTATTTACTTGGAGGGTTCTTTTATTATAGTGGTAAGTTTAATCAAGTTGATTTGAAAGCTACTCTCGCCCATTTCCATCAATATGTAGACTTTGCAACAGAGGGGGGAATAAACTGGATCTTACTTATTCTAAAATCAGCATTCAAAACTATCCCCACCCTCACCTGGGCTCTTCTGATTATCTCTCTATGCTGCTTATCCCAGCATATAAGACTTTATTACTTGGAGAGAAACCTACAGTGAAGCAAGTGAGGGCTTGGGCGGAGGGAGATATAGAAGCATTACAAGATTGCTTTGAATGCATGGATTGGGGCATGTTTAAAGAAGCAGCAACAGATAATCAACATATAAATGTAGAGGAGTATTCTATCACTGTGTTTGCATATATTCAAAAGTGCACTGAGGATGTCTGTGTCCTTAAAAACATTGTTGTGAGGGCTAATGAAAAACAATGGCTGAAATACGTGATTCATAAGATGTTGAAAGCACAGAATGTGGCTTTTAAATTTGGGGATATGCTGACATTTGGAATAGCCAGAGCCAATTTGAAAAGCACCATAAAAAGAGCAAAGCAAGCCCATTGTCAGAAAGTTCAGAACTTTTTTCAGGACCCGATGAACACCAGGGCATTATAGACTAAGGTAGCTCTATTGTGTGGTAAGGACAACACAGAGTTTTTAAATGAGCTGAATGCATTTTTGGAAGATTCGAGGCATCAAATAGCACCCTTGCGAGGAAAGCTTGCCCCATCCTGATGAGGAAGTGCTTAGCTTTGATGTTACCTCTGTCCAGAGGACATTGCTGAAAGTTAGTATTTAGAAAACAGCGGGCCCAGATAATCTCCTTGGGCATGTTCTCAGGAAATGTGCAGATGAATGGCTTGCATTCTCACAGGTATTTTCAATCTTTCACTGCAGCAGGCAGTGGTCCCATCGTGTTTTAAGACGGTCATTATTTTGCCAGTGCCAAAAACATCTACAATTATGGGTTTCAATGATTACCGTCTGGTTGCACTTACATCCATCATTATGAAATGTTTTGAGAGGTTGATAAAGGACATTATTGTATCCAGCCTCCCTCCAGCATTTGACTTGCTTCTGTTTGCTTACTGTCCAAATCGCTCTACAGAGGATGCTATTCCTTCTATTCTCCATCTGAGCTTGGCATACTTAGAGGAAAGAAATACCCATGTGCGAATGCTGTTTGTCGACTTCAGTTCGACATTTAATACAATCATTTCTCCACATGCAGTAGACACACTTGGTCTTTTAGGCTTTAATACTCCTTTGTGCAACTGGATTCTTGATTTTCTTATTGATGGGCCCCAGTATGTGCAAGTTGGGATTAATATTTCTAATACTATTTTCTCGAGCACAGGTTCTCCTCAGGACTGCGTCTTAAGTCCACTGTTGTTCACCCTGTTGACCCATGACTGTTGTGCAAGGTTTGCCACCAACCATATTGTGAAGTATGCAGATGATACAACGGTAGTAGGCATTATTCAGGATGACAACGAGGGTGCTTACCGCAAGGAGGTAGAGGGTTTGGTGAACAGGTGTAACAAAAACACCCTCATTTTAAACATAGGAAAAAACTAAAGAGATCATTGTTGATTTCAAAAAAGGCGGGCACAGCCACACACATCTGTGTATTAATGATTCACCTGTTGAGGTGGTTAGCAGCATCAAATATCTGGGTGTGCAACTAACAAATAGGCTAGCTTGGTCACTCAATAGTGAGATACTGGTGAAGCAGGCACAGCAGTACCTGCATTTTTTGCGTCACATGAGAAAAGTACCTTTTCCTTGCCCTGTCCTTACCACTTTCTATAGAGGGACAATTGAGAGCATCCTGTCATATTGCATTACAGTCTGGCTTGGAAGCATCACTGTTTCAGACGGGTAGTCAGTGCAGAGTGGTGAGGTGGCAAAAAATATTATTGGTAGTTCACTTCCTTCTGTCCAGGACACAGCATATAAGGCAGTGGTTCTCAACCTTTCTAATGCCGTGACCCCATAATACAGTTCCCCATGTTGTGGTGACCCTCAAGTGGGTGTGGCCACCAATAAGAGGGAGTAGGACAGCTAGGGAAAAGGGGAAAAAAATGGCGGACAGCGTGGTTTGGCGACCCCTGTGAAATGGTCGTTCGACCCCAAATGGGGTCCCGACCCACAGGTTGAGAACCACTGATATAAGGGTTGCTTGAATAAGGTCCGCAGGATGTTTGGGACACTACGCATCCTCTTCACGACGTGTTTTCCTTCTGGGAGGAGGCTTCATGGTGTCTGAAGCAGAACATCCAGATTCAGCCATAGTTTTGTTCCATATAGCATCAACCTTGTGAATTCTCAAGTTTCCTTTTTCCACTATATATTCAAAATGGATAGTGATCAGTTTATGTGTGTGTGTGTGTATCATATGTATATGTATGTTGTGTATGTGTATGGGTTGATATATACTTTCTTTTGAGAGCAGGCAACAGAATTTGATTTTTAATGTGTGTCAGTATGTTCACAGTAAAAAAATGACAATAAAGGTTATTTTATCTTAAAACTGATTGCTATGCGGCTGTCTATCCTTATTTTTGAACTTAATATTTCAAGAATAGTTGGATGAATCTAAATAGATATTACGTAATTATATAACTAGATATGAACTAGATATAATTAGATATGAACAATATCTACAGGAATATGAAAATACAATTAGAACTTAGAACATAGAATAATAGGGATGCAAGGACCTTGGAGGCCTTCCAGTCTAACTCCCTGCCCATCTCCCTGCAGGAGATTCTACACCATTTCAAATTAGTTCACCTAAGACTAGAAGCTGGCAGCCTAATAACCTTATTGACTTGCCGCATTACAGTATTGATCAGGTTTTTTAGAGGACTTTTAGTGGAAATTAGTGAAACAGTTATTTAAAACTTCAAATTTCTGGAAAGAAGTGTTTCTCTTCTTTATGCATATTATTTCTGGATTGCAAATTTCAAGCCTACACTCTTTTGCTCACCCTGTGCTCGGTTTAGAATTCTGATAATGTTCGCAGTTTTGGATGTCACTAGCAGTTACAGCGAACTGACTGGGACTGAAAGAACAAAGACAAGAATGGAAGGAATTGTTACTTGTTTAATGAATTATGATTTATTAAGCCAAGAAAGTTATTTCTGAGCTGCTCTTTTACAATCATTTCAGGAGAACAAGTGAGTATTATGTTGATGGATCCTGATCAAGCCCTAGGATTTATCAGGCACCACCTTACTAAAGTCAACTGGCCCAATTATTTCAAGAAGGTCACCTGGCTGTCCCTTGTCCCATGGAATTTGGATGAGATGGCTGGCATTCTCTTGACCAGATGGGGCGTGGTTTCACCTGCTGCCTGCATCCCATTGGATGGGGCTTCATGTGTTTGCGTGGCCCAGTTTCTGGCATGCCGAAGCCCAGTGCCAGTCCATGGACCGGGTGTTGGGGACCCCGGGCCTAGAAGATGGGCAACTATATAAATGTCCCAAAGGTGCTTTTTCAAGAGGCAACTGGACTTTCTTGTTTTTCTTTGAAGACATTTTGCTTCTCATCCAAGAAGCTTCTTCAGCTCTGACTGGATGTTGGAGAATGGCAGCTGGTCAAATGGAATAGGAATACACTAACTCAGTGATGTTAAATCTTTTTTGTCAAATGTGCTAAAATTACGAGGAAGTGACTCTCTAGTACCAGTTCAATATCCTGTTTAGAAGGAAATTCTGCCTCAAAGACAAAAACAATCTGAGATGAAAATACTTTTGTATCTCGGCAAGGCAGAAATTGCCTCTGGAAATCAATCTAAATAAAATGTATTAAAGCTGGCACTCTTCTCAGGGTCTAGAGCAGGGGTTCCCAACCTTGGCAATTTTAAGATCTGTGGACTTCAACACCCAGAATTCCCCAGTCAGTACAATTTCCAAATCGTCCTTTGCAAAGATGGGCACAGTCTTCCTTCACTCCCCTCCCTGCTTTTTTTTCATGTTGCTAAATGCTCACCTTACTGAGTAGCTCTTCCTGGTCTGTTTTCACCCCAAAGCGGGGACTGCTGGAGTTGGTCAGGCTGGAACTGTGCGTGAGTTTCTTGACCCCACTGATCTGACACATGGGTTGCTGCCGCTTCTTCTTCTCCCGGTCTTTCTGTGTTGGGGATGGAATCTCCACATCGTTCTGCTTGTCTGTGGATGAAAAGAGACTGCATCGGAGAGAGAAATAACCAGGGGAAAAACAGGAAGAGCACTACCCCGCCTGAGAAGTAGCCTCTGGATCAAGTGTCATGATTTGTGGCACAGGTGCTTTATCTTCATCCACCCATCGTCCAAATGACATTGCTCCCCAGACGGAATTTCATTACTGTCTCAAAGATGTAAGAATGAAAGCTTAGAAATTATGGAGCAAAAGGAAATTTAACCTAATTCCTGGTAGCTAAATTTCTCATAAATAAATCAGGATACTGCAGGAATGTTGGGACTAGGGTTGGATACAATGCTAAAACTTCTTAATACTTATTGGAGTCTTGGGAGGGGAGCTTATTGTGTAATTGTCCTACTTTATTTGTCTGTTTAGACTTTTTCTCCCTTTGTTGCCTTTGTACATTTCCTCCTCCCCCATATTTTAAAAGTAGAATAGCCTCAGAATATGATTGTGCTTCAAAGTATATGTAGACTCAAGTTTTCTATAATTCATACATTTAGTTCTGTCTCATCATGAGCTCCAGCTGTTTCAATTTTGCAGCACCCCAAAAAAGAACCAGAAAACCATCCAAATGCTTTTTGTGTGTCTTATAAATACCTACTGGACAGTACCAATAACCTGGGCAGTCAAACAATTATTTTTATTAATTTTAACTACTTTAATAAAGTAGTTAGCAGTAGCATGAAAGGGTGCTGATCTGCACAAGCAGTGATATTTTTCAGTTCTTATATTTTTTATAAAGTGTCCTCAACAACGCCATTCTGAGATGCTTATATCAACATACATTCCATCTTCTAGAAGACTTTTGTTTATACACATATAATTAAGGATATAACAAAAAAGTGCTCAGAATCAGATTGACACAACACATCCACCTTTTTAATAAACCAATCAAACAGGATTTATCTGTCGTCTTAATTCTGTCCCTGACTCTAGTCTTTTACTTTTTCCAGACAAATGAATAGCTGCTATTGCTCCTCTAGAGAAAGAAAGAAAGAGAGAAAGAAATAGAATGCTGGACATTAGGCCAAAGTGGTAGTGAAAACAATCCTGCTCACTCTCCATCGCAATCCTGAAGACAGATGCAAAATTACTTATTTTTAAGTCTACTTTCCATCTTCTGAAGATACTTCAGGTTCATGAAGATGGAAGGGAAACTGTTCAGTTTAGGCTTCTAGACTGGAAGACTCAAAGTACAATGTAGAGCAGTTTGGGGGAAGACTCACCCTCAGGAGTGGAGGGCCTTGTTCCCCCACCTTCTTCTAGGACTGTCTCCAAGGGCAAGAAGTCACGTGTGGGTGGTACCCACTGGGAGTACAGAGCAGGGGGAGGAGATAGCCTGCCAAGGGGAAGGTGGCGCACATTGGGGGAGCCTAGAGGAGGCAGAAAATGGGGAGGACGCAGTGTGACAGGAAACTGGGAGGGAGTCGCATCATGACATGGCAGAGCTATACCCCAATGGTACCTGCGGGAGAAGCAGCGGCAAGGGGGCCTCATGGCAGAGTGGAAGGGGCGGGTAACAGGCCCCGGGAGGAAGCAGGGCATAAGTTGTAGTACCATTCTAGAGTGTTGGGTTCTAAGTTACTAGGAAGAAGGATTGTGACAACAGAGAATATTCAAGCCAACTGCCATACATTTGAATTCTTTCAAATACTGCCCCAAACAGAGTCCCCAATATTCCCGTCTTCCCCCAAGTTCACCTGAAAAGGCTTTGAATAACTCTGGAGCCAGAGCTCTACCATGTTTGGCAAAAACAGGGGGATGTCCTTTGCTTAGACAAAGATGGTGGTCAGACTCTGGAAGACGACCTATAGGAAGAATTAGCTTCCCTGTGGTAACAAAACAGCTCAAGTACATCTGCAATCTCATCTGTTTCATAAATGATCAAGCAGATTCAAGGGGTTGCCTGGGAGCTTGAGGATCTGGAAGAATAGGCTGCCTCAGTATTGTGGAATTCTATCATCTCAGGACACTTAATGAGGTTGAAGCAAATAAGCATCTGTGCATGTGTATCTTTATGGCTGAGGCAAATTCGGAATAAAAAGTTGAGAATAAATTTAGGAGTTTTGATTCCTTTCTTTCCTCACCTCAACTAACAAGCTCTGCTTCTAGCCCTCAGCCACAAGCAACCAGTCACTCTGGCCATTTCCTACCAATCACTCAATTCTGCTTTGGTGCCACAGCCAAGAATGAAATCCAAGTGCTCAGGCAATTCCCAGGCTGACCTATCAAACACAAGTTCTTCTGCCAACATAGAAACAGTTCCAAAGCCCCAATGCATGGGGCCAAGCTAGGTAAACTGGTATAGGTCCTCCCCATCTGCTCCATCTGAAATCTCTTCTTTCCACAGCAATTCCAAGATCTCTCACGGGACAAGGGATGTGTGTTTGTGAAGTCAATCAGCTAAGCTCAGTAATGGGATTTCACTATCTCTTTTTCACCTCTTTTGCGCCACTGTGGCCTGGCACTGCCTCATCACATGACATTGGCAGACCATGCCACAGCTGCTCAGGAGGAGCAGGGAGGATGAATTCTGGCCCTTGCTCAACTGATACTTGGCCTCCGTTTTCAGCCCATGTTCCAGCTCTCACACAAGGCCTCCATTGAAGTGGTGGTTTGCATCAACATTTGCTTAGGGCTGGGTATTTGCATCCACTGACGTCAATGGGAGGCCTGCTTTCTGGAGAATGCAGTGGACAGGAAGCACCCATGAGTTTGTTTCAGATGACTACAGTTCTTAGCTATCCTGTCTGATTCAGTCTGCAGCCCTTGGGGGAGTCCTACACTGTATGACAAGGCCTCTGATTCTGCAAATACTAAGATAATCATGTATAGTTCCGCATACAAATGCAGTACTTATTTCGTTTTTATGTAAACACGATGTTTACACAAGTTTACAGAGGTTGGAGAACAACCTGCTTAGATTTGTGTGCATAAGATGAGAAAACTGCCCGACAGACTAATTCTATGCCTTGTTGGATTTACCAGTCATGTAAAGATTTGCTCTCAAGTAAATATGTTCAAGAATGAAGCTCTGGCGGCATCCTTATGTTCATTTATATGACAGTAAGTCCCACTAATCTGAGTGGAGCTTACTTCAGAGAAAACCTCTTCCAGATTGCTTGTTTGTCGCTGAATGGAAAAATCATGGCATGATCCAACTGTGAAATCCAGGAACCTGGACATCATCATGTACCAAATAAGAGTTGAAAACTAAAAATTTTGCTGCAGATTCAAATTATCTGATATTAAGCAGAGACCACAAAGGAGCCATCAACACTTTCTGATTCTAACACTTACATTATGCCTTCACCCTTTCTCCAATGTGGTGCCTTCCAGAATGCCCAACCAGTTTCAGCCCCACCCTCAATTTCCTACTGATGCTAATATGATTGCTACAAGTGTGCTTGGGAGGGAGCACTGTATGGGAGGTATCCAACTGCCCAAACGCCTGTGTACTTCTGCTATCTTATCAAACATTTACTTAGCCTTAGGAGAGCGGGTTGAAAGGGGAAGGAGAAACCTGTGAGCACAGTCTTTCTTCTTGCCTAAAACCCAGCGATTGGCATTCTGAGACAGGTACAAATGAATCTCTGCAGAGCAGCAGAATTTGAATTTAATTCCTTCTGGAAATTGGAGGGAAAAACTCTGTGTTCATCAGTCTATGAAGAAGCTGGGAAAGAGTTCTGTCTGTTTGAGCTTCATCACATGATTATGCCTGGTGCTATCTATCCCTGCACAACAATGCTTTAGCAGTGGGAGAGGAAGGACTCTACTGTAGTAACAATTTGCAATTAGTCTCTGCTAGGTTTTTCCCTCAGTGGGCTTTCTTCTTTTCAAATGACTTCAGCCAATCAGATTTGGCTGTAAGATGACATCAGCAAGTGCAAACAAAACCAAATCTTTGCCCTCAGTTTAAGCTGATGAAGGGAAGAGTGGAAATCTCTGTGTTGCCAAGGCAACTATGCTGCCTCAGCCCTTGGGATGCTCCTTGTCTACAGCACTTCGCATACTGGCATACTGCGGAGAGCGTCACAGAAGCACACCTGCCTGCAGATGTTCTCTGTGCTCATGATATTACTTTCTATGGGACGTGCATTGGAACACGCAACCTCAAGCACATTTGCATAGGATGAGTCACGGGGAAACAAACTGCACTGGGGCTAGGGACTGTCACTTATTCCTCCCACGACGAATATTTTTGTCCTTGTCCAAACTGTTCCTCCCAACCTCTGAGATGGAGGGCTTTTGGGATATGCACGAACAAACATTAAATGGAAACAAACCCCTATTTTGGCTTAACTCTAAGGAAATAATATAATAACAGTCCAGAATAAAAGGCAGATGGCTTTCAGAGAATCATTCATTGTTAGATGTGGAAGAACATGTAAGATTTAGCAATTATGTTTTCCTTATTATACTCCAGGTAAATTATCAATGTTAAAGAACTATAGGCATTGCCATCAGTGTTTAGAACAATAGAGTATAATTACATTCCTGCTTTGGACAGGACAAGAAGCAATGGATGGAAAATAATCAAGGAGAGAAGCAACCTAGAACTAAAAAGAAATTTCCTGACAGTTAAAACAATTAACCAGTGGAACAACCTGCCTCCAGAAGTTGTGAATGCTCCAACACTGGAAATTTTTAAGAAGAGATTGGACAACCATTTGTCCGAAATGGTATAGGGTTTCCTGCCTGAGCAGGGGGTTGGACTAGAAGACCTCCGAGATTCTATTCTATTCTATTCTATTCTATTCTATTCTATTCTATTCTATTCTATTCTATCCTATTCTATCCTATTCTATCCTATCCCTTTACCAGAACTTTTACTCATAATATAGGTTTATGTTACTAAAGGTGTTGATGTGATTTCTTTTTTAATTTATTTATTCATATGGCTTTTTCTTGGGGCATAGTTTATGAAAGTGTGAGAGCTAAACTATTATCACTCTGAGAAGAAAGGTTAATGTCAATTACGTTCTTTATCTCTTGTTCTGCCTTACTGTACAAAAAATATAACTCACTTGTGGACCCTAAAAAGAATGTTTTCTTTTTAGCAAACTGCCTGATTGTATTTGATTGAAAAATAATATAGGATACAGTTTACAATATTGCATAATATTTTTTTAAAAGAATGTACATGGATTGTAGGTACAGTAGGTTTGTGGCAATGTTAAAAACATACTTCCATACACTTACCTAAAAAGGTGTTGGAAATGTACTCAGACACCTGGTTTCCAGAACGGCTCATTTCAGAGAGGTGGGTTAATTCACGGTTCAGCATTCTTTTGAACTATTAGAGACACACAAAAAGAGAATGAAATAATTAATATATATTTTCTGTCCATGCTCTGGTAAAAATGGAAGTGCATGACTGTATACTTCTTCTTGAATAAGCAATCATGTACAAGAGCAATCTCATGAATGGGGATAAAGTGACACTTAGCTTCAATGTGCATGAGCATGGAGACAGAGTTAAGAGAAGAAGAATGGCTACAAGCTGCTACTGGGTTGTCAAAGTACATTAATAAAACATACATGCTATACTTTGAATCTGTGAGAGTTCAGTGCCTGCTGGAACACTTTGTAACCTGGGAATTCTATTAACATGCAAGGGTTCCTCAACAGAATGCTGCCTAAAAAAAGATTATTTTAAATAGTATGAAGTTCTCAAATAATTTCTATTACAATTTATGGATACTGTATTTATGCCTGCATGTCTTACACCAGTGGTGGCGAACCTATGGCACGTGTGCCAGAGGTGGCACTCGGAACCCTCTCTGTGGGCACATGTGCCATTGCCCCAGCCTTGCCTCCCCCATGACCCCCTCCTCACCAGCAGCCCCCCTGGAGGAGAGTCGCCCCCGAGCGTGGCCCACAGGGAGCAGCACAGCCAAGGACATGGCAGCCAGGCAGCCTAGACAAGACTGCCCTCACGCCCCATCCCGCACAGTTGATACTGTGGGGCACGGGCAGAGGGCGTGTCCGCCATGGCGCTGCTGGGCTGCCTGGGTGATCTGCAGCAGGCCCTGGAAGCGGTGAGTGGCCCTGCGGGCAGGCAGGATGGGGGGGTCGGGGCAGGGCCTGGAATGGGTGTGGGGCCAGTTTTTGGGCACTCAGTCTCTAAAAGGTTCGCCATCACTGTCTTACACATTCAGATTCAGATTTTTCTGCATCTAGAAATGCCGTATGTGCCTGCAGTTGCAAACTGCCTCAGCTCTAAGAATCCGAGATATATATCTCTAGATATATAATTCTTTATTTACCCAATCATGAGAATGTTCACTTTTTTATGAATGTATCTATTCTGCCATATCCGTGAACATAGATATGAGCTGTCTTCTCATGATTTATGCAATTCTCAACACATCTGAAGATGAATTTTCCCAACTTCATGCCTAACAAATAAGCATTCTACAACTCTCATCCCAAATAACCGTAGGGTAGAGAACAATAATCCCAAATGATTCAGGGCAAAGTACAATCAAAACAATAACACCCCAAACAATAACAAAATATAATAAGGTACACCGGAGGCAGTGCAGTAATTGGGGCAATCCATCCAGATGGCCTCCCAAAGCCCCCTAACCCAATAGCTGGTGGGAAACCAGGTCCTCAAGATATTACAAATGACAGATATATAGGGTTGGGGCCATCCAAATTTTGGCGGAAATAGCACTCCATCGGGCATATGCAGTGACAAAGAAGGCACATCTCCTGCCCTCCATAAGATGACATTCCTTAAGAAATAGGACCCAAGGGACTGTCAGATTTTCTTCAGATGGATAGAGATAATTGGCTATCGACTACCCCATAATTTATTTCATTTATATCCCACCTTCATTATTTTTACAAATAATTCAAGGTGGCAAACATATCCAACACACCTTTGTCTTATTTTCCCACAATAACAACCCTGTGAGGCGAGTTGGACTGAGAGAAAGTGACTGACCCAAATTCACCCAGCCAGTTTTCATGCTTAAGTTAGGACTGGAACTCACAGTCTCCTGGATTCTAGCCTGGTGCCTAACCAAATCAGTAGGCTTTGTGCTATGAAGGACTTTGAAGCTAAAAACCAGAATCTTCAATTGCACCTGGAAATCCAATAGTCTAGTCTAGTCTAGTCTAGTCTAGTCTAGTCTAGTCTAGTCCTAGGCCTTCAGCTGGGTTTATAAAACCTTTTCACTTTAGGCCTCCACCGCCGTGTGCAAAAACAAAAAAAAGTTTCAATCAATCAATCAATCAATTTCAACTTCTCACGGGAAAAAAATCTCTCAAAGTTGGAATTGATTGAACTTTTTAGTCCCACCCAGTCTGTCGTTACCACCGCAGCCACGCCCACCCACTGGGCCACGCCCTCCCAAATGGCCACACCCACCCAGCACCCGATGATACATAAGTGGGTTTTGGGTTGCAGTTTGGGCACTCAGTCTCTAAAAGGTTCGCCATCACTGGTATAGTGTATCATATTGTATAGTATCGCACCACACAGTTCACAGAGAAGTGCAACATAGATGTACTGAGGTCTGTATGTAACTATCCTTACTGCTGCATTCCTGACCAGTTGTAGATTCCTAGTGGTCTTCAGGGGGAACCCCATGTAGAGCACTTTGTAGTAATCCAGACATGAAATAATCTGGACTTGAGTGACTGGCAGTAGGGACTCTTGATCACAGAATGGATACAATTGCCATTCAAGGTGAATTTGAACAGTAGCCCACAAAGCCATGGTTGCATCTGCTTTTCAAGGAGGAGTCATAAATCTAGGATGCCTAGATCACACACCAGGTATGTGAATTAAAGGTGGAAAATCTCTGGTGGATTTTGAGGCGTAGTATTTTATGACTTTGGTTAACTAATGGTAATATCCTAATGAGGAGTTTGGATATGTTGCTATACAATAGATTTTTCTCAACTTTTGGGCTATGGTTCCCATCATTTTTTTATACAACACCTATGGCTAAGCTCACTTAGTAATGTGATTGGTTAATCTAAAACATTTGGAAGGCAACATATTAGGAAAACTGTCTATTATTATAAACAACTAGGAAAAACATGTTATTAAAATGCACTATTTTCCTATTTGATCTCAATTACATATACAAAATCATGCCTTTAATTTTTTAAAAAACCTTGAGGTTTATCTAAATGAAATGATACCATAGCTATTTAAAAGAAATTAAACATATATATGTCCCAGTGTTAAACAGAGGTCTCCGTGAGTGTCAATTTCACAACAAACTCATTCCATTAATACCAATATTATTATGAATGTAGCTACATTATTTACCCATGAACACTTCTGCCTATACCCCTTCACCCCTATGCATTTGTTAATCAGCTCATACAATCTTGAGAATCAAACAACATCTTCGTTGCCAAGGTGCAGGGCCTATGAAAAGCAGCAACAGCTAAAAGAAAAGACAAACTCTTTCCTATCCTCTTGTGGTTCTTTTGATTTTTGCAGCCTAGCCTTAAATTAGACAAAGGGGAGCTGAGTTTGCAGTAGCTCTTGACAAATTAAAGGACCAAAATATTTCTGACTCCATGCAAGCACCACCAATCTGTCTGATTAAGAGGGAATGGTAAGAAACCAGTTGGACCAGCAGAGGTAACTTTTCACATGTATTGACAGAATAAACCAAAAGGTATTCAGCTCTTCTTCCTAATCCCCTAATCAATGCTTTTATGACAAGTTTGTTCAAAAACACAGAAGAATCAGTGATTTATTGAACTGAGAAATAACTTTCAATCAATAAGGCAGGATTTATTTTTTTATCTTATGAAGTAACTATTGTAGCTGCGAGCTACCTGGGTGAAAACCATATCTCTTCTTCCTTACAGAGGGAGGTGAAGGCAAACAGCTCAAAAGACCTTTTCATCCTCATAACTCCAATACCTCACTAGGACATGGCTTGTTGTGAATGAATATTATTGAAATAAATATTTATTTGATAAAAAGTTAGAAAAGGAAACGCTAGTAGCAAAAAGTTGGATTTCTTAAAACGTCTGTTTCAACTCTTCATTAATCTTCAACATAGTCTACGTGTGGAATTTCTGCCCATTCATTAATACTATTTACACAATTTTGGCTCCAACCTGACCAAAAGCTGCAAGTGGCTTACAAGACTCTGCTGCTGTCAAAATTAGTCTTTGTTCATAACATTATTACGCATGGCTCTCAGGTAGTTCTTTCCTTCCACACTTGCTCACTTTGCAATTTCTCTGATTCTTTCACATGAAACAGACTTTAGAAAAACTTGGGCTGGATATTAGCTGAGTATTCCTCCTCCTCCTCCTCCTCCTCCTCCTTACTGGTCCAACATTTTGCTTCTCTCTGTGGTTTGCAAGAAATTGCCGTCATTCTCTATCTTTTGAAGGTACTTTTTGTTCATTGCCTTTCCTGTCTGAATCCTTGAGTTTGCCAGGCCCACATCCTCTCCTGTGTTTTCTCTTTTCCCTGCCAAAATTTAGGCAAAATGAAGGCCAATGCTGTTGAACTTTCCATGGGCTCAACTAAATTCTAACATTCTGGCAATGTCTGGACGTAGTTTAACTAAACCATGGGCTTCTCGGCCCAATTTTCTGGGTTCACATGAAATAATACAATAAGCAGATCACAAAGATGCACTGGGTATATATCGTAATGATATTTCTTGTGAAGAAACATGACCCAAAGGTGCTGAATTATTCCATCTCATCCCATTCTCTCCTAGAAGAACTGTGATGGTTTTTTAGTACTCTTCTCCACAGCTCTTCTTATAGAAATGTAGCTGCAAACTTAAAATGGAACACCATTCCCAGGTCAGAGCAGGTTTTTTAAGAAGGCTAACCTTAAGTCTAAACAGCTGAGGATTTTTGATATGAGAACCTCCTAAAGAAATCAGAGAGAAAGGAGGAATTTGAACTTGCTTGGTGTGGGTGGAAATAATAATAAATACAGAGCAGTTTTGGAGTTGAGTGACGTAGAAATACTATAAACAAACAAATAATGTACGGTGACAGATCTTCACCTTCACCAATATGAGTTCTAAGCATGGAAATATCCAAAGATTTGTGTGCATATTTGCTTTTGGGAAACAATATCTAGTAACTCTGCATCAGAACGATTTTTTACCCAATGTTATTCAGGAGTTTGGCATTATTTGGCTCTAAGTGAAACAAATTCCGCTTTCCAAAGTTGTACCAAAAGAGAAAGTATATGGGATAAATGAACAAGCTTGCTTTTACAGTTTGATGCTTGATATTGTTCTCTTTTTAAAAACCTTTTGTCCTTGAGAAAACTCTTGGATG